TATCTCTCAATATTTTAACTTCTTTACCTTCTCCTCCTTTTCTTCCTGAGTAAATCTCACCCACAGACGTGAAGTCTTTGAAGAGATTGGGCACTATCTTACTATCCAGCCCATTACCAGGCTGTGCACTCTCCTGCAGCTCCTAGACTTCTCTTGCGATTTCCTTCACTACCTCAACAAATCGCACTGGTTTAGCCTCTTATGCCACATCTTTTTTCCCGGTGCCTCTCTTAAACCACCAGCACTGTGACTTTGTGTGTCCCTCTCCATTATAGTGGAAACACGTGAGGCCATTCACCTCATTTTCACACTCTTGGGTTTCTTTTTTCACATGTAGTAAACTGTTCCCAGTGTGACCCACTTGTTGTTCCTCATTGAAGGATCTCCCTCCTTCCCAATTTCTGTCCGTCATGGGTTGGAAGCTAGATTTTGATTTATGCACTAATCTATATTCATGTGGCATCTCTGCAGCTCTTGCTGTTTTAACTTTCTGTTCCTCAACATGAGTTCTTATCATTTCCGGAAGTGAGTTTGTAAAATCCTCCAGCAGAATAATTCCTAAGATCCTTACAAGTCTTTTCTATCTTTAATGTTCTCACCTCTCTATCGAAGTTGCCATGTTTAATTCTTTCAAACTCGACCTAAGTCTGACCTGGTTCCTTCCTTATATTTCTGAACCGTTGTCTATTTGCTTCTGATATCAATTTGTAGGCACTCCAAATAGCCTGTTTAACATCTTCATAATCTCTAGATACCTCCTCTGACAGTGTTGCATACACCTCACTAGCCCTGCCTACTAACTTGGTCTGAATTAACATTACCCATATAGTCTCTGGCCAATTCATCTGCCTAGCCAGTTTCTCAAAAGAAACGAAAAAGGCATCAAATTTTGGTATTGTTTTGACATATTCATACATACCCCTATCAGGTCTTTGGGTACGATGGGTCTGGTGATCATCACTCTCCTCCTCACTAAGCCTACTTTCTACCTTCATTTCCATCTTTTTTGCGTCGGCTATCCTGTTTAATTTGCAACTTCTGAAGTTCAAAGTCTCTCTGTTTCTCCCTCTCCTCTCTCTTTTTCCCTTCCTTCTCTCTTTTTCTCTTTGCTTGGCCAGAGGAATTCTTTAATTTTGTTTTCTGCCGATAAACTGTTTCAGTTCCCTTTCTTCCTCTTCTGCCCTGGCTCTTCTTTTCTTTATCTTCTAACTCCAATTGGCTAATTTTCAATTTAAGTTTTCCAATCTTGCCTGTTTCTCTGATATACCTAAATCCTCGACCAACTCCATCATGATTTCAGCTTTCCTCTAATCCCTAGGTGAACCCAATTCTAGCCTGTTTGCTAAGTCTAAAAGTATATCCTTCCTCTGTTTTTCTAATCTTTCTTGGCAAATTTGGGAAGCATCTTCAAACTCCAGAACCTCGTTAGCAATGTTAAGAGCCATTTCCCTCACTTTTGATTTAACCAACCACAAACAACTGAAACGAAACGGATTTTTCTCACCTTGAAGATCTAGGACACTAATCCCCAAGTCTGTTTAAATCTGTCCAAATCCATTCAGATTTGTTCAGAGCCCACACACGAACCAGCCAGATCCCAGACTTGAGCACCTAAACTGTTATGGAGAAGGGGACATTAAATGAAAGAAAATCCCTGACATTCACCTTGTAAGTACCAAGTAACAATTTATTTATTTAACTCTAACAGTGAACAAATTAACAGAACTACTAACAAAACGAATAATTCCCCCCTAACTCCTAACTGTTCCCTAACTGAACAAAATTCTCCTAGTATGCTATTCCAATAAACACAACTCCCACTTATATAACCCAAGTAGTAAGAACTATAAAGTAAAACTTAGGCTCTCAAAGTCCACACAGAATGTGTCTTCCAGAATGCTCTGCCTTCTCCACTGTCTCTCCAGTTATAAACGCCTTTCTTCTGCTGTTCTCAAGTCATAAACGCCTTTCTTAGACTGATCCTGCTGTCAGGGATGTTTTTTCTGTGAAAACTCTTAGCTAGAAGTGCCGTGGTACCTTTTATGGATAAGATGGTGCTTTCTTGGAGATCTTAGCAATTTCTTGTGAGCGCTAGGTGCTTATTTCTCAGATCGCCATCTACCTTGGATGACATATCAATTTTCTTCCAATCGCACTGCTCTGAGGTTTTTGAAACCATCAGATTTAAATTCAGTTGTCTTTCAATCGCTAAGTGCTTGGTTTAAATTGATTGGCTGATTCCGGCTCATTGTCAAAACATCAAAACAACCTTAAGGTTTCCAATCACACAGCCAATTGATACATGTTTCCATTTTAGAACTGGCTGTATATCTTCAGCTATGCACAGACACTTTTTTTCTGCATAAATCTCTACTCTTGGAAAAGCACTTTATCTCCTAAAGGAACCACGCACTCTACACAACTTTGTAACACTGGACATTCAAAAGGCTTTTGACAAGATTCCACACAAGAGATTAGTAAGCAAAATTAAAGCCCATGGTATTATAATGTATTGACATGGATAGAAAACTGGTTGGCAGACCGGAGGCAGTGGGTTGGAATAAATGGGTCCTTTTCAGAGCGGTAGGCAGTGACGAGCGGGGAACTGCAGGGTTCAGTGCTGGGACCCCAGCTGTTCACAATATACATTAATGATTTGGATGAAGGAATTGAATGCCATATTTCCAAATTTGCAGATGACACTAATCTTGGTGACAGTATGTGCTGTGAGGAAGATGCTAAGAGGCTGCAGGGTGACTTGGACAGACTGGCTAAGTGGGCAAATACTTGACAAATGCAATATAATGTGGATAAATGTGAGGTTATCCACTTTAGCTGCAAAAACAGGACGGCAGATTATTATCTGAATGGTGGCAGTTTAGGAAAAGGTGAGGTGCAACAGAACGTAGGTGTCATGGTAGAACAGTCGCTGAAGGTTGGCATGCAGGTGGAGCAGGTGGTGAGGAAAGCTAATGGCATGTTGGCCTTCATAGCGAGAGGATTGGAGTATAGGAGTAGTGATGTCTTGCTGCAGTTATACAGGGCCTTGGTGAAGCCTCACCTTGAGTATGTGTGCAGTTTTGGTCTCCTAGTCTGAGGAAGGACATTCTTGCTATTGAGAGAGTCCAGGGAAGGTTCATCAGACTGATTCCTGGGATGGCAGGACAGACATATGAGGAAGCACTGGATCTACTGCACTTGTACTCACTGGAATTTAGAAGAATGAGGGGAATCTCATAGAAACATATAAAATCCTGATGGGACTGGACAGGCCAGATGCGGGAAGAATGTTTCCAATGTTGGGTAAGTCCAGAACAAGGGGTCACAGCCTAAGAATAAGGAGTAAGCCATTCAGGATTGAGATGAGGAAGAATTTCTTCACTCAGAGACTTGTGAACCTGTGGAATCCTCTCCCCCAGGAAGCTATTGGGGTCAGTTCATTAGATATACTCAAGAGGGAGCTGGACATGGCCCTTGTTGTTAAAGGGATCAAGGGGTATGGAGAGAAAATGGGAATGGGATATTGAGATTGCGTGATCTGTTGTGATCATATTGAATGGTGGTACAGGCTTGAAGGGCCAAATGGCCTACTCCTGCACCTATTTTCTACACTTGGTTAGATTTGGTTAGCCTGGTTTAGTTAGCTTGGATTGGTTTGGTTAGATTTGGTTAGCCTGGTTTAGTTAGCTTGGAATGGTTTGGTTAGATTTGGTTAGCCTGGTTTAGTTAGCTTGGATTGGTTTGGTTAGATTTGGTTAGCCTGGTTTGGTTTGATATGGGTTGGTTTGCTTTGATTTGATTCCGTTAGCTTGAGTCTGGTTCATTTCAGATTGGTTTGGTCCGGCTTGGCTTGTCTGGTCTGGTGTTTTCTGTCTCTCTCTGGTGTGTCCTGTCATGGTTGTGTTGGTCTGTGCCACTGCCCGCTGCCCTCGAAGTGGCTCTGGGGAGGGGGGTTGAGACTGTCACACAGCACTTTCTGGAATGTGCCTTTGCAGAGGAAGTCTGGAGGAAGATGCAGTTGAGGTTCGTCCTGAGCGGTTCTGTGATGTGGGACTCTGTGCTCCATGGTCTATTCCCCAGGACGCACACTGAGACAAACATTGGCTGCACCTGGAGGACCTTCAACTCGGTGAAAGATACTGTTTGGTCTGCCCGAAACAATGGTCTTCCAGAACAAGGAGTTGACTTTGACCGAGTGTTGCAGACTGGCACATTTCCAAGGTCCAGGACTATGTGCTGAGGGATGCACTAAGCTTGGGGCAGCTACTACCAAGGCACAGTGGGGAAAGACCACTGTCTGAGGTCTTCCTGCTGAAGTTAAATGAGGGACAGTTGAGTTGTCAGATCCTCCCAGTGCCTCAAATATACATAAATATTAGAGTTGTATGTGTAAGAGGTATGTATATAGATAGATGATGGCCTAGTGGTATTGTTGCTGTACTGTTAATCCAGAGATCCAGCTAATGTTCTGGGGGCCTGGGTTCAAATCCCAACAGGGCAGATGGTGGAATTTGAATTCAATAACTATCTGGAATTAAGAGTCTAATGATGACCATGAATCCATTGCCAATTGTTGGGGAAAACCCATCTGGGTCACTAATGTTCTTTAGGGAGGGAAACTGCCACCCTTACCTGGTCTCGCCTACATGTGACTCCAGACCCACAGCAATGTGGTTGACTCTTAACTGCCCTCTGGGCATTTAGGGGTGGGCAATAAATGCTGCCTAGACAGTGATGCCCTCATCCCGTGAATGAATAAAGGGAGAACACAAGGTCTTTGGTTTTTTTTGGATAAAGTCAAATGTCCAATGTCTTGTTTGTTTACTTTATATGCAACTTGTACAGAACAGAACTGCTTTTGTGACAATGTACATGTACAGAGAGATTGTTTTCTTATGAGTAAAGAGCATGTTTGCAACTGAAGAGAGGTTGGTTTGCACTGAGCCAGGCTGTTTGAGTGCAGGAGTGTGTGTGTCTCTCTCTCTCCCCTGGAGGGGTAGAGGCTCCTGCAGAGACCCGCCCGCTCGCTCCAGCCAACAACAACAACAACATCATCACCCATCATCACAACCACAAACATGGCTGAAGGCTATCTCTGCTCATCCTCGTTCAACGTGACGGCGGTACCGGGCGGGATCTAATCTCTGCTCACAGTGTGTCTCTCACACACAGTCTGGTGCCCGGGGTTGGGGAAGGGTAGGACAGCGATGGAAAGCAGCGCCGGCGATAACAGCCCGTCCCTCAGCGGTAGCGCCGGCTCCAACTCCTGGATGCGAACGTGGGACAACAACAGCTCTTTCTCGGCACTGAACACCGGTGAGGAAAATCTGTACCATCCTCCAAACCCCGAACGCCTCAGCAAAGTCCCCCCACCTTCCTGCACCGTGGCTGGTCCCCGCACTTTATTGTTTTATTTTGTGTATTTGTGTGTGTGCTCTCTCTCTGGGAATGCACTCTCTCCTCTTTACCTTTCACTGGGGTGGTGGTGGGGGGTAGCAACCGTTTGTAAGTACAGCGGCGTCTCCCTCAGAGACTGTCCCTCTCTGCCGACGGTGGACATCATAGAATCCCCTTAAGGCAGACCCCCCTCCTTAGTCCTGACCCTCCTAATGCCCATACCTCCACTGGGATGTGTGTTCACCGTTTGGAGCTACACATTGAACCGTCCTTGCTATTGTTTCCCTTCCCCTCGTCCCCCCCCTCAAATTGTGCCAGTTACCCCTTTTATTTTAAATTTTGGTACCAGCTCCTCTTTGCTGTGATCTGTTTGTACAGCAGACAGATTGGCAGCGCGGACCATCCTGGTCTGCTCAGTAAGGATCGCAGACCTTTTTCTTGCCATCAGGGAAAGTTTGAAGAAATGCTGATTTTTTTTTAATCATGTTCCTTTCAGTTTGTAATCTAACAAACATTGCTTTTGGAACCGTCAGTTGACGTGAGGATGTTTGATCTGGTGTGCTGTATAGCTCGGTTGGCCTGGCAGCTGGTTGTGATGCCCAGCGGTGTTGGCTCACTGGCTGAGGTTACCATGAAAGGCTCTCCCTCTCCACCTCTTCCCCCCTCGCCCGAGGCATGGTGCCCCGCAGGGTAAACCACCACCAGTGCTGGTAGGCAAGGGGGTAATTTTGGACAGCCTTATTCTTCTGGCTTTACCGTGTACGTTTGACTTGACTGATATAAAAAAAAGTTTTCAGTTTCTTCATTTCTGAGGAAGGGTCACCGGACCTGAAACGTTAACTCTGTTTTCTCCTCCACAGATGCTGCCAGACCGGCTGAGCTTTTCCAGCAACTTTGTTTTTGTTCCTGACTGATATAAACCCTGACTTATTTGTAGATTGGCTGACTTCCAAGTTCATTTACCATACTCTTGACCAGTCACTATTGCTTGTCACTTGGCTATGCAAAGTTGAGTGAGAAATTCACTGATATATTCCAATTGTGTTGTATGCTGTGCATCATGAAGTGCGGCCAGTTAGTTCAATAGGTTAGAGCACGGTGCTTAATAATGTTGATGCTGTGAGTTCAATCCCTGCACCAGTTGAGATTGTTCTTGAATATTCCTCGTTTCCTTAATCTACTGGGAGCCAAGATCAGCAAACCTCTGACAATGAGTTGCTATATTAAAAGAGAGAGGCTGCAGAATAATATTTGTAATTTTCTTCTCTCAAAAATGTACTTTATTCATAAAATTTGTCGAAGTCACAGTTCAGATTTAACCATATATACAGTTCAAAACAAATCTGTTTATTTCAATACATTATTTGCAGCATTATGCTCCCATTTACGGGGTATGTTTACAGTACTCAATTCCTGTCAAATAGTTTTATTTTCCAAAAACATTCTTTATTTATAAATTTTACAAAGCATTCAAGTTAACTGTACATAAACTGCAACCAAGATTGATTTATTTTCGACACAGTGTGAAATACTCTGAGGTGACTCACTGCACGCACAGTTGTAAGTTTATATTTACAATATAAATTCCATGTCATAGACTCAGCCCAAGGGATTTTACACAGTTTCCAGTCCCTTGTTATACTATGGCAGAAGGGCCTTTGTGAGTGGGTTTTCCCCAATGAGCCTGTGCGATGCTGCCTCGAGTAGGAACTGGGAATGTGCCATTCTGCATAATTCAGTTATCAAGAGCCGTTTTCAATGGAGGATCAACAGGTTTTGGGCAGACCAAAGAGTATTTATCACCAGGTTGATAGCCCTGCAGGCTGCAGTCAATCTTTATCGGTGTGTGAATATGTTCCTCGGAGCAGTCCGTACAGCACAGGGTCCTGAATCCCAGAAACTGGTAGGGATACACTTAAACAAAAACCGTCGAATTGTCTTCTGGACCTGTTTTGCAAAGACACAATTCAAAAGGAGGTCGATGACGGTCTGTCTGCAGCTGGCCCGAGGGTAGCATACAGACAGGGTGAGACTCTGGGTGTTCAGGAAGGATCTAACAGGGAGGGCCCTTTTCGCTACCATGTCTTGTCAAGCAATTCTGTTTCCACAATTACACTTCATTCATAAAATTTCTTAAAAAGTACATCAGAAAATAACTTGAATTGAATAAGAAAAGTGCAATAAAATTCAACTTTTCTCCATAAAACATATCTCACTCTGAGAAATCTGAATATGATTTCAGTTCTCCTGATAGGCACAATGTCAGGGGTACAGTACGAGGGACTTAATGCAGCCGCCAGGCTAATAGTACTATGGCTGAAAGGCCTTTGACACAATTCTTCCCCATTGCCACTCCACAAAAATGAAATGCCTACTCCAATTTTCCAGCTTCCTATCCTAAAAGTACTAAGCTCCTGCATATGCTTTATGGTGATTTATTCTGATGTACACCCTCATAGTGAATCTAGGAAGTGACTTGTCAGAAGGCTTTTTGACAGTGAAGGGCATCAGATTTGACTCCACCTCTTTGCTTGTCGGTTTAACTTTGGAGAATATCTAGTAGAATGTAATGTAATAATCAAGGTTGGAAATTCTAGTCAGTTCTATCTTTTTATTCCTGTTTACCTTGCATGGGAATACTGAGATCAAACATAGTGTTAGTATACTTGTCTAGACATAATGTTATACCGCTTGCATGCTGAGCCCTTAGTGCCCAATCTGTAAATATAATGGTGATAAATTGTAAGCCAGTCTGCTTTTAACATTGGATGCACTGCATGGTCATTGTGGCCAAAAAAATACGCTGCTCTCGAAAGGCAATTCAAGCTAGACAATACTCCTGTTGCTGATTTCAATCAAATCAAACCTCATTTTTATTGACAATTTTTCACAATGATGTGCGGGATAAAGGATATTCCAGTCGACCTTTAGATAGTTGTTGCAAACAAGGTGTTCATTATGAAATTGGTGTCAGTCTATTGAGTAAGTGCCATATTTAGTGGCCATTTGATATGTTTTCAGCTTATCTTGTAAATCTCAAATTATGATTAAAAATGTTTCAATTGACTATTTAGAGTTTACAGACTATGGTGATGCATTGCTTGTGACATTAGTAGGTCAGGGACGATTAGTATGCATTGCCAAAATCGATAGACTTGTTTACAGATTAGCACATAATGAAATTATGTGATGATGCCATTAAGAGAGATGCAATCATGTATAGTGTACACGTTCGTTGAATGAGCAATTATCCTTGTTGTGATCAGATGGTTAATGTTTATGAAATTCATTTATATTACCATATGAAGACCAATTAATAAAAAGGGAACAGGAGAAGGCTGTAGGGGCCCTTGAACCTGCTCCGCCATTCAATAGGATCGTGGTTGCTCCAACATCCATATTCCTGCCCTTTCACTGTAACCCTTGATTCCCCTACTGATCAAGAATTTATCTATCTCAGCTTTAAATATACACAAAGACTCTGTCCCCCACAGCTGTGTGTAGCAAGGAGTTCCAAAGACTCTCAACCCTCTGAGAGAAGAGATTCCTCCTCATCTCAGTCTTAAATTGGCACCACTTTATTTTGACACCATGCTGCCTGGTCCTATACTCTTCCACAATGGGAGAAACATCCTCTCAGCATTTACCCTGAGATCACCTCTCATTCTTCTAAACTCCCGTGAGTAGAGCCCACCCTGTTTAGCCTTTGCTCATAAGACAATCCCTCCACATCAGAGATTATCCTAGTGAACCTTCTCTGAACTGCCTCTAATGAAACGATACCTTTCCTTAAATAAGGGACCAAACTGCTCTCAGTACTCCAGATGTGGCCACACCAGCACCTAGTATAGTTGCAGTAAGACTTACCTACTCTTATACTCCAACTCTCTTGAAATTTATGGGTTATAGTTTTTTTTTGGGATGTTTGTTCTGTAACCAGTGCTTTTTTATTAACCCTGCTCAGTTATTGAGCATGTTTGAAATAGCCAAAAATTAATATTAGGGATGAAATTAAAGTATAAAATGCTGCAAATGCCCAGCAGGTCAGGCAGGGTCCCTGGAGGAGTAAGAGAATTACTGATTCAGGTCACTCGTATGTTTTTTGGCATTTTCAATTTTATTTCAGATTTCCAGTGTCTGCATTATGTTGAATTTGTTGTAGAAATAGCCATTGCCACTTAAACTGAGGATGTCAGTTCAAATGTGGCATTCAACCTGTCAGATGTATTTTAAAGATTCCCTTTAGAACATTAACTGGGAGCTTTCCTGGTGTCATGGACAAATGTTTTGCCTGCTCAACAGTGTTCAATCAAAGTCATTCACAGATAGATGTAGAAGATCTTAGGACATTATTTTGAAGAATAACAGAGAAGTTATCCCTGGAGTCCTGCCCAACGTTTAATCCTTTGTCAAAATCGGAACAAACAGATCATTTGGTCATTATTTCATTGCTATGCATAAATTGGTTGCCTTTCTTTCCCGGGCAGTGAACATTGTTGTTCATCCCTAATTGCCAGTGCAGGTATACCTACAGTCCTGTCAGGAAGGGAGCTCCAGGATTTTGACTTAGTAGCATTGAAGGAACGACGCATACATTTCCAAGTCAGGATGATGTGTGGCTTGTATGGGGGATCCTGTGGGTGGTGGTGTTCCCATGCAGTCACTGCCCTTGTCTTTTAAGATAGAAGAGGTCCCACATCTGGAAGGTGCTGTTGAAGGATTCTTGGTGAGTTACTGGAGTGCACCTTTCATGTGGTGCTCATTCCTGCGACTGTGAGCCAGAGGTACAGAAACTGAAGTTTGAAGATAGTTGAAGGGGAACTAATTAGGTCTGCTGCTTCGATCTGGATAGTTTGAGTGTTGTTGGAGCTGCAGCCTTCCAGGCAGGAGGGGTGTATTCCATCACGCTCCTGATTAGA